AATACTCCGCACACCCCCCCCCCCCAGTTCTGCTACACTCGCCACCTGAAGAGGTGCAAACTGCAAAAAGCACATAGCCACAAACTTGCTAACGAACAGCAGCTTCACTTCTGGGCTCCCCCAGGCGCTGTGGATGGCAGTCACTCTCTCTCTCACACGCAGAGCCCACATCCCTACCCTACCCTCCCTGACCGCGGAGCCTGGCGAGATGTACCCTGTCACGGATGACCAGCTCCCCACCCTCCCGCGAGGGGAGGCGCCCCACGCCGTTGCTCGGGCCCCTGCGCCTTTTCTTTCAGACAATGTCCCTCCCACCTCGACAGCCCTGCGGGTGGGCACAGAGTCGCCCCCTCCCCCTAACCCTAACCCCGCTTCCTGCGCTCTCTCTGTGTCACCGATCCGTCCCTCCGGGATTTCCACCCTCCCCTCTGCCCCATGGTGGCAAGCAGCAGAGAGCCGGCGGTGGGATCAGGGGTATCTTTTATTCCTAATATTTCCGCGCACGCAGCACTGCGAGAAGAGGGCTCCCTGGCACGTCTGTAGGGCAGAGGAGGGAGGAGCAGCGAGCAACATCATTTTTCGATGAAAAGCACTGTGGCTTACCCAATGCAGCCTTCCGGACTGAGTCTCTCCCTACCGGCCACTCGCACAAGGGGGGCGGGGTGGCAGCAGACTAGTTTCCCCCCTAGCCCCTCCCTTCCCTGAGGAGAAACCGCTAGGCACATGGCAGAGCCCAAGCAGGGGCGGGAAAGCGGCTGGCGGGGTCTGAGCTTTCTTCAGGGCGTCCATGGCAGCGCCAACCCCAGCCCCGCGCCGACTGCATTAGCAGATTAGCAGAGCCCGCCTCCTGCTGGCCACCAACTGGCCGCCGCCGCAGGGGCTCCTACTGCCGGAGCTGGAGCCTTCGCAGGGATGGGCCTCCCTCAGCCCCCCGGCGGCGCACATTAATTCTTCGTGCCAAAGTCCGCCCCTCGGCGCTCCCCTGAGCCCGTTCACGGGGAAACCTTCCCTGGCCTCTCTCAGCCCCGGTGCGGCAGCACATTAATTCCTTTTGCCAAAATCCGCCCCTTGCCGCTCGGGGTTGTTTCTGCTACTGCAGGGCTGGGAAGGGGCCCTTTAAATGCCTACGGCGGCCGGCGGCACCGCCGCCAGTCACCCGTTCACGAGGAAACCTTTCCTCGTGCCAAAATCCGCCCCGAGCGGGGTTGTTTCTGCTCCTGCTATATTTTGTGTCTAGCCAAAAGCGGGGGGGGGGGGGGGGGAGCCAGTTGTC